GAACCCAAGGTTGAGTAAGGATATTGTTGATGTGAGATTGTTAACCATTGTCATAGGGCACCATTTGTAGTAACTGTTAAATGAGAAACTATTTCGTTCTGTAAGCCTTCATCTTAAGTGAGAATAGCAGCACAATTGGAAGAGCGTAGTCATTGTCACTGAACTGTGCATGTAGAAATATTTGAAATGGTGTATCTTTGACTGTGTATTTTCACCAGAAAAAACGGTTGAGAAGTTGGAGGGTTGACATGCTGTGGGGTTGTTAACCAATGTCATAAAACAGTATGTGCACTACTGTTTCATGAGAAACTATTTGTTCTGTAAGCCTGCACCTGAAATACAATAAAAAAAAAGAAATTTAAAAATAGAAAAAAAAGGGAGCATCTGAGAAACTGAAAGGCTGCACCAAACTCCCTTTTGTCATTATTTCAAGTAGCTTTTGTGAGCAAAGCTTGTCTTACCTAGCAACAGTTGCTAAGTAAGTTGACAACTTGATTTTACAGTCTGGGAGGAGGTATTTGCTAAATCCCCAAATCCAGCACCCCTGCCTTATGTAGCAGAGGCTTTCAGTGCCGTTTTTAACAGTAGGCACATGACCACTGTCTTACCATGGCGAATCATTTCACCCTCACCAGCATCTAGTATTGGCCTAAAACCTTGAACCTGTTTCAACTTCCTTAAACTTCCAGCTTTTCTTAAAACTGCTTTTTCTGATCCTAAGAATATTTTAACTGTGCATAGTAGAAGAATCTTAAATTTAACTATGATCAGAAATCCAAATTACTCAAGTTTTGTTTGCTGTAGTGTTTGTAATAAAATAATTCCAACAGCTCCTGTTGGGGAAACCTTCAAACGGATCTATGAATACAAGCCACTTAAGACACGCTTTTATACACACAGAGATATACTGGGTAAGTGACTTTACTGTTTTCCTTTGTTCTAATTTTACATAGCATTATATGTAATTCTTCCTGTTACCCAGACTTTATCAGCTCTTCCCTGGCCTAAGTCACTTGTCCCTAGAGGGGCATCTGTTTGGCATAATGAGAAGAATATAGGTTGGAATCTCAGCTTCTCCACTTACCAGTTGTGTGCCGTGGGCAGGGTATTTAGCCTCTCAATCTGTCTATATGTAAATAGGTATATTAATACCTCCATGCAGGTTCTTATGAGGCTTTAATGAAATATTTGTACCTATTATATAGCCTGGCATATAATAGACAGCGTTAGTTCTTTTCTCCCATACCCATACTTGGGCACCTTCCACACATATAGGATAATACCCTAATAAGTGGGTGAAAGAAACTATAAACTTTAATTAGTAGCTGGTGATATAAATGTAGGTACACATAGATAACATGAGAATATTTACTGTATATACACCTCTCATAGGCAAATCAGATTGTAATTACATATTTCTATCTTCTCTCCTTTGTTCCCATCAGAGTTTCAGTCTGATTTTCAGCCTTATAAATGTTTTCCTAAGGACTCTCAAAATGCTTCTCTGACCGTCTCTTCCTTTAACATGGCAAACTAATGGTAATTTGACTTCACTTCTGATCTTTGGAAATACAAGAAGCTAGAGAGTGGAAGGCGTTTTGAAGAAACAAAAATGTAGAGTGATATTAAATTGGAATCATCCTCTAAAAGTTTGTCATACCAAAAATGATTTTAACTTTTAGTAAATGTTTGTTGTTGTTGTTAGATGCCGTCAAATCAGTGCCGACTCATAGTGACCCTATGTATAACAGAACGAAATGCCGCACAGTCCTGGCCATCCTCGTGATCGTTATGCATCAGCCCGTTGTTGCAGCCACTGTGTTAATCCATCTCATTGAGAGTCTTCCTCTTTTTTGCTGACCTTCTAGTTTCCCAGGCATGATGTCCTTCTCCAGGGACTTGTCCCTGCTGATAACATGTCCAAAGTATGTGAGACTTTGCTTCTAAGGAGCATTCTGGCTGTACTTCTTCCAAGACAGACCTGTTGGTTCTTTTGGCAGTCCATGGTATATTCACTATTCTTCACCAACACCACAACTCAAAGGCATCAGTTCTTCTTTGGTCTTCCTTATTCATTGTCCAGCTTTTGCATGCATATGAGGCAATTGAAAACACCATGGCTTGGGTCAGGCACACCTTAGTCCTCAAAGTGACATCTATCACCAAGCTAAGCACCATGAAAGATACACTGTGGTATAAGATGTGCTCTCTAATTTCAAGGAGTTGATCATCAAGGCCTAATCACATAAAACAGTTAACAATTCAACAAATGTAAGATGTGAGAAATGAATGGAACAAAGAATAAGTATTAAACACTAGATCACTATGTGTGGTTTCAGCACTCAAGGGCTCGTCACCTGCATAGAGTTCTTGAGCTGCCTCTGACAACACACTCTGGCAGGAGATGGGCAGAAAACCAGCGCCCAACTCAAAGAGCTCAGGTCTCATCTCCGGGTCCAGCTCTGTCCCTGTGTATCTGATATTGTATGGTCCTCTAACTTCTCTAGGCTTTTATTTTTTTGTCTGGGTAGGAAGGGTACTGTTATGCAAATGTTATTAGTTGGTAATCAAATGAGATCACTGACAGAGAAGTGCTAAATTTAAATGTTACTATTGTAACCACTACTTCTGAGCTCACTATAGAACTGAAGCAGCTAAACTCATGAAGACCCACACACTAAACCGTGGCGTGTTGTTACTGTTGTTGTTAGGTGCCCTCGAGTTGATTTCAACTCATAGTAACCCCATGTGACAGAATAGAACTGCTCATAGGGTTTGCTAGGCTGTAATCTTTATGGGAACAGATCCCCAGGTCTTTCTCCCATGGAGCCCCTGGGTTAGTTCAAACTGCCAACCATTCGGTTAGCAGCCAAGTGCTTAACCCTTGCTACACCATAAACTGCAACATATAATGTATTGAAGAAGGCATTCTGCACCACTCTCCTGATGGGGATAGCACCAGCACCCAGATAGGAGGAGCAGAGAGAGAGGAGCTGTATAATGTTTTAATACATCTTCAAAACTGGGTCCCTGTCCTACTTTGGGTGTGTAAAGTGTGCTTCCTTTTTGCAGAACATTTATTTCACTTTAATTCCCTAGTTGCCTACTGTGTGGACTGATGTGATGAGCGGAATGGCTGATTCAGTCCAGACCAAACAATGCTGTGAGTTCACTTCTAATTTGTTAGGGAGAAATTTACCCCAATTATTGGTATTTTTAAAGAAAAGATTGAAGTCTAAAATGATATATCTCTTAGATAGCCTTAGTAAATAACTAGATATTGGTGAAAAGGAAAGCCAGGAAATAGTCTGTGGATATTTGTGATCATTCTTCTCCAAATACACAGATATTGGAGCAAGTATTCAGAATAAAGAAGAGGAGTTTCGAGAAGCTATACTCAAAGAACACATTGCAAAAGCAGAGGCTGAAGTGTGGGCTAAGGTAAAAGAAGTTAGAAATGAACCTAACATGCATCTTTATAGTTCTTTCACTTTATTGATTTATCCCAAATTATAACGTAGCATAGTCAACAACATAGATTATGGAATCAGACAGAACTGCCTTTGAACCCCGGCCATCTGTGGGACCCTGGGCAAGTTCCTCAACCTCTGGAGTCTCAGCTTCTTAATCTGTAAAAAAGGGATAATAATACCTTATGGGGCTGTTCTACTCTGTCCTGTAGGATCACTATGAGTCAGAATCAACTCAACAGCAACAGGTTTGGTGTTTTTTTTTTTTTTTGGTAGTGCATTGCTGAGAGGTTCAGTGATATATTGTGCCCTCTATATGGATGACTCCTGACTCCTGCTCCCTTTATTCTCATTTGATTAACACAAATAAATAAAAGAAGAAGAACCAAGAGGACATTCTTGTTGACAACTGTTTATTATTCCTTAAACTTTAACATGCAGACCATCTGTGCAGTATTTAATACCCCCGGACTAAGTGCCTGTTTTTTTCATCATGGCCTGCTCCCCTTTTTATCCCCTTTCTCTCCTCCACTTCTCTCCAGAATCCTTGATACCCTACCCGTATGACTTCTGAGTATCACAGGGCCATTTGAATGTGTCAGGGCTCAGAGTGACATCCCAGACACATAACTGAAGCAAAGCCTTAATCTCCCAGCCCCTACTTCTTCTAATCAAAAGTAGAATGACATAAATGATTTGCTAAAGAGAATTAAATGTTTTCTGAGGGTAGGGAAAACCACAATTCCTAGAACAATGTTATTTCTCAGTTTCTTTATAAAATGGATATCATAGCAAATAGCACTGGAATTGTCCAGTATGAGTCCCAGCAAAAGTTTAGTATGGAAGTATTTTGAAAGGAAAACATACTCCAGTACAAAGGGTGATATATATAAAAATCTTAGTAGTCATCTATTTTTATCAATAATAATAAAATTAAAATCAATTGTGAACCATTAATTATATATCTTGATAAAAGGGAATGATTTGTGAATGATCTACAGTTTAAATATGTCTGTCTAATATTCTAGGCCTTCTTATCAAATAAAGTAATAAAGCTTCTTTCTGAAGACTTGATGCAGGGGATCAGGAATGACACTCAACCTCTTGACTCAGCTCCTAGATTTGTACATCTTTATACTTTTCAGTATTTTCCAGACGTTCTACAATGAGCACGTATTATTTCGATAAGCAAGCAAGAAGTAAAGTGCCAAAGAGAAAAGAACCCAGCAGCCTACAGTAAAACTGCCATATCTTCAGCAATTCCTGAAACAGTGTTATGAACCAAGTGTTGAGATGTGTTAGGGCATCTCTGGCTAAGGCAGCCAGTTAGCTTTGGGAAGTTTGAGCTGGGAACAGAGCAAGTAATTAGGGACTCCATGGTGGTTGCTAATTTTCAGTAAACTTGAAAACCTGATTTATCAGCATCCCAAATAATGATGAATTTCCCTATGCTTATCGTGATATATAATAGATAAATGGATTCTTTTTTTCAAAGGCCAAAGAACGCCAAAAACAAGCAGTGGAAAAAGCACTTGAAGAAGCAAATGACAAACACAGAATTGACCTTCTGATTCTGGAAGAGAAACATCAAAAAGATCTACAGGTTTTTATACAGGCTTATTTGTTGTCTTTTTAAAAGATACGTTAGTGAAAGCCCTGGTAAGGGCAGGAGGAAAGAAAATAATATATAAAATCTATGTTGGTGTTTGTGAGGTTCTAGTAGTAGTAGTAGCATTTAGAACTTATCTAGATTCCTTAGTGGCAAGAACCAGGATCAGCCCAAAGCTGATTTCTGTGAGGTAGAGGTCAGACATACCTCCACTCTCCAACTTCTTTATCATTTCTGATACCAGCTGTCTTCCCCCACAGCACTCTCTGCTTCTGTGCTGGGTTGGATAATTCGTTGCAATGACCATACTCACAGTTAAATGGTTTATTAAGGAAGTAAGAAGGTGCAACTCAGGATCAGGATCAACAGGCTACAACTCGGCATCAGGATCAGGAAGCATGTAGGCAGAGTCTGGAAGGCTCCCCAAAGTAGAGAGTACATCCCTCCTTGAGTTCAGGACAGCTCTCTCAGCAAGCAGGACCTCCTTTCTGCCATGCACATCTCCTGTCAGCCATTCAGGCCTCCTTTCAGCCCCCTCAGAACAGGCCTCCTCTTGGCCCTCTCAGGAAAGGCCTCTGTGTTTGGCCTTCCGGCCTTTGGCCTCTCCACTGCCCACTGACCCAGCTCATAGCCAGTGTAGCATCTTTGTTCAGCTCTTTTAGCTACATTCCTAGCAGTAGGTTTCTGCTATCACCACCAACTTTGCCACAGGGTCCCTTCTAGGCCTGTTGCTGCTACCTCTGCCGCACGACCTCTTCTGGGCTTCTCACTGTCTTCAGTGTTACAGTCCTTGACTCATGTTACAGCTATTTTAGGAGGATCCTTACCTCCTCTCTGTCTAGTTCTTCCCTCTTCTTGCCTCACTTGCCTTTTCTCCTTTCTTTTTTACTCTTTCTGAAACCTCTGTGGGGTTCACTGCAAATTTCTCGTCAGTATCAAGGCATGACCCTCCCAGCAGGGCCTTGAATTGGCCAGTCTCCTTGGGAGACCATAGTCATTTCATTTGCATAGTCTGTTTTATATTGACTAATCCCTGCAAAGTGTGTAAAATAAACCAATCACAGGGCAGGCTGCAGCCCAGGGCCAGACAAAAAGTATCAAATCATCAAGTTGCTTAAAGCTTACCCAGGAAATGTCAATCAACCTTGACAAAAGTAACAAACCCTCTGGGGGTAGAAAACTAGGGCAAATGTAACTCCTCAGGGCTTAGGGGAAAAGTCTCTCAAGCTGTTTTACCAAAGAACCAAAGCAAACGGCCACATAAAGGAACTCAGTCCACCACAGTGTTTCATAGAGGTTGGTTGAGAGTTTCATAGAAGAGTTGTGGGATCTGTGAGGGGTGGCATTCTCTATGATGAATTCTATGGCAGCAGTGATGAGTGAGTGAAGGAGAATCCCATAGCCTTACCCACCACATTTCTTGCCACTGGCTCTTTCCTCTGTCTCATTGCCTTTCTTTGGGTCTTTGATCCTGAATGCATCATGTTCCTTCCAGCTTTGCTGTATTTTCCAGAATGCTCTTCCCATACCTTCACCTTGCTTATCATCCTTCAGATCTTAGCTCAAACATAACTTCCTAAGGTAAGCTTTACTGGGCCAGCTCTGAACTTGCTGCCCATACACTGTCGTGATACCCCTTTCTCTGTCATAGCAGTCATCGTGGTTGTAAAGATCCGATGGTGTGCTTAGTTGTTTAATGTCTGACTCCCCCACATGAGCACAGCCTCCATAAGGGTGTGTCTGTCTTGTCACCACTTTTGCCCCAGTGCCCAACACAGTGCCCTGAGTTAACAAGTGCTTAAATAGTTGTTGAAAGAATGAAGCCAGCCGTTCTCCTTCTTCCCCTGGGCTCTCTGATTGCATACTTTAGCTAAATTTACATTTGCTGCAGTGCCAAGAGGGACATCTGAGCTGCAGGGACATTTCTTGCAGGACCAGAGGTCAAAAAATGAGGGGACTCTTTCTAACCTGTGACCTGTTCAAGCACATGACTCTTGGTAATTAGTAAAATTTCTGGGCAGAGGCCCAGGCAGTCAGTGTTTAGTTCAGTGCCTCAGTTACAAAATCTGCTCAGAGGAGAAGGATATGGAACTATTTTCACACTTTGGCCAAGAGAGGGACAGGACAGGACATGGTTCAGGTGTGATGATGCATGGGCAGAAGCTGGAGGGAAAGTGGCAAAGGTCCGGCCCCAGGTTTGGCCTAACTTAATGAGAACATAACTAATGAACAGGTCAGGACCACTGGCCGATTTATTCATTGTTTGGGCAGTGAGCACCTACGTATATCAGATCTGAAGTAGGTAAGAGTAAATGGACGGTCCTTGTCCCCGGGAGACTTGCTGACAGGAATGGGGCTCCTCCCCAGGGTTCCTACATGGGAGTAGAGTGCTTACTACTTGGTTCCAGTCCCCTACCTCAGCCAGGCCTTGGCGTGGTCCCTGAGGGGTTGGCTGAGTGACCCACTGACCATCCGCTATTTCAGTTCAAAACACGAAAAGCATTTATTGCATGTCTTAGGCAGGTCTGCTATCCAGCTGGCATGTACCAGTATGGCCAGACTGGTTCCTACAGTATTGAGATACTTCTCTATCAGTTGATAAATTGCCACCCCCCAGACCACCTATCACTTGGTTGTCCTGGTTGCTTCCCTGTGCTCCCTTCATGGTTTGACTGAAGACTGGAGGGACTCAGGAAGACATTGTGCCCGCACTCTCTGTTAGTCCGAAACTAAAGCCATTCCCGAGGCCAACTCTTCAGACAAAGATTAGACTGGACTATGGGACATAAAATGGTACTTGTGAAGAGTGTGCTTCTTAGCTCAAGTAGATACATGAGACTAAATGGGCAGCTCCTGTCCGGAGGCAAAATGAGAAGGCAGAGAGGGTCAGGAACTGGTTGAAAGGACACGGGAAATCCGGGGTGGAAAGGAGGAATGTGCTGTCACAGTACAGTGAGAGCAACTCGGGTTACATAACAATGTGTGTATAAATTTTTGTGTGAGAGACTAACTTGAATTGTAAACTTCCAATTAAAGCACTTAAAGCAAAATAAATAACAGGCTAACTCTTGGCTTGGTAGGGGCTCCAGCATCCTGCCCCAGTGCTACAGCCAGGGCCATTCTGATAGGTGGCCCCTGCCATACTGGTTGATACACATTTTGAATAACATTCATAGTGTTAGGTTCTGAAGATACAAGGATAATTTAGATACGATCCCTGTTTCAAGGAATTCACATCCTAATCTTCCTTTTAGTAGTTTGATTGTACCCCATATAGCCTTTGGATGGAGCTGATGCACTTAGTGCTTCTGTAAAAGGAAGTCCTGAGAAAATTTATAGAGCAAACGTTAGAGGGAGGTTGACCTTTCTGAAATATTTGTCTAGGGTTTGAGAATTTACACTGAAACCATCATCTCAGGGGTGTTTCTTATAGATGAAGAAGTGATTTGTCTAGAGGAATGTGTAGGATTGTTATTTTAGCTGTAACATACACAGACATAGACATCAGTACTGTTTCTCAGGGATTGCCTTTGAACCACCTGGTTATCTGGGAGCTTAACGTGCAGATTCCTGGCCCTCCTCTGACCTATAGAATCAGAACCACTGGTAGCATTTTTAACTCATGACTCAGGTGATTCTCACATATATTAAAGTCTGAGATCACCAATCTGCAGCAAAAAATCAAGTTCTCCTAGAATGTTGTTGCTGTTGTTGTTAGGTGCCGTCGAGTCAGTTCCAATTCACAGTGATCCTGTGTACAACAGAACAAAATACTGCCCCATCCTCACGATTGTAGTTATGCTTGAGCCCATTGTTGCAGCCACTGTGTCAGTCCATCTCGTTGAGGGTCTTCCTCTTTTTTGCTGACCCTCTACTTTACCAAGCATGATGTCCTTCTCCAGGGACTGATCCCTCCTGATAACATGTGCAAAGTATGTGAGACAGAGTCTCGCCATCCTTGCTCCTAAGGAGCATTCTCCTAGAATACCTCATATTCGCCTAGAATACCCAATATTAAATACTCAGTAATAAATTCTGGTATGTAGAGACCACTATCACTCTTATATTATGTTAGGGATTTGGGATAAGTCTCAAATGTCTGCTATTAGATAAAATGTCAGGATCTTATCTGATGGACAGGTGGTACAGACAGTCCCTGGTTATGAATGAGATCCATTCCTAACTGTGCCTTTAAGTAGAATTGGTAGGTAAGTCAGAACAGGTGCATACGGTTCTTATTTAGCCTTCCCTAGGTGTGAGAAAAGGCGCAAAGTCTTTTCAGTGATGTAAAAGCTGCACGTGTAGCAAGTGAAGGTGATTGTGATGAAGAATTTGTTGCGAGTAGGGGTTCAATCTTTTCAAAGTGAGGGCAAATTTACATAACATTAAAAAGCAAGTATGTGTTGTCCTTAAGTTGTAAGTCGGTTCGTAACCTGGGGACTGCCTGTATTTTAGAAAGTTGTTTATCTTATTTAAATACAATAATATTAAAAAGTAAATGACAAGATGGAAGCTAAGGGAAAATAAGAAAAATTAGGTAGGAAATGTGATGAAATCTGGGTGAATTTACAACTTAAAAATGTATGTAAGCCATGAGGTCCTTTGCAATTACCACTAATTTGACCTTGAGCTTTCTGGCAGCCAGTGCAAAGGGAAATTCCATGAATCATTGTGTCTATAAGGTCAAACAAATCTGGTGCTCAAGAGAGGCCCAGACGGTCCTAGTTGTGATACCTGAGAGAAACTTCTCACGTGGGAGACATTCTCCATTAGATCTCTGTCAAACATCTGTATAGTAAACATGATGGATTTCATAAGGCTGCTGCTTATACAATCTTGAAATGTAGGCTGGGTCACTCAAAATGCATTCCAGTAAAAGTAGTTTAATCGGGAAAACTCCCATTGAATAAGAACACGCCAAACAGTAGATTTTTAAATTATTTTTGTAGCTTTAATATATATTTCAAATGCTATATGAGGCAGTGAAATAATTTCGGTTTTACTAAATCATTACATAGAGAAGGCTAAGTTTGATATTCTGAATCCTGTCCTAGAACCCAGCAAAAATAAAGGGCTGGGATATCATTTTAAAATATATGATTCAAATAGAAATGCACTTTTATGACAATATTTCATTGATTTAAATCTTAACTACCTCGCAATCGCAATTATTGAGCAAGTAATTGAAAGTAGAGAAATAAGTTAAAATATCCCCTAAGGAGTCAGATAAAGGCCTCTGGTTTATTACTCATAGCAGAACCTCTCCACCCTCCACTCAGATCTTATTTATGCTTTTGACAACCTGAATCTAATAGACATGGTTGTTTAATTTTCCAAATCTGAAATAGAGTAAATGCTGAAAACTAGAAATGACGGGAAGGGGCACAATGACAGCAGTTAGGATGAGGAGTCCTCAGCTCAATGGCATGAGAAGAACAAGAAACTTTATAAAAAGTAGTCATCAAATCTCAAAATGCACAGTAGTCTGTGATCATTTATGACAGAGACAAATGGCCTTATGAATTTGAGCAATTATTATGTACAATATAACATTTTTAACCCAGGGCAATAATTCATCTTTGTCTACTGAGCCCGGATCATCAAGAAAATGTAACTCGTGCTCATATGTTCTTTTTATGTTAAAGATTTAAGTGTTAAATTTTTAGAAATGTTTTCATTCAAGATATTTATTATCAAAAAGTCTTAGTGTGTAAGGGACAAAGCTTCTGCAGTGTGGAAAACCCAGCTAGCACTAGTAAACAGCAAATGTTTTCCAAAAAAAGATTTTCTAAATACATGAAATGAGGCCACTCCGGAGAGATTCTCAAAGCTGATGTCTGTTTCCATTCTTTGTTTTTCACCCTTGGAGTAGCCAAAGTGAGAAGCTGAAAACGTTCCTTCTGAAAGTCTGACTAGCAAATGGTCCCTGGGTGGTGCAAACAGTTATCATGCTCGGCTGCTAACTGAAAGATTGGAGGTTCAAGTCCACCCAGAGGTGCCAAGGAAGAAAGGCCATTGAAAACCCAATGGAGGGCAGTTCTACTGTGACATATATGGGGTCACCATGAGTGAGAATCAGCTAGACAACAACTGGTTTTATATAGCAAATATTTTGGTTGTTGAAATGCTTTTCTAAGATGCTAAGAGCTATTTCAGTTTCCCCTGAAACTTAGAGTTCTCTTGACTTTTTCTTAGCTTCAGCTGTACATTTCTTTTTGGAAACATTGTAAGTGGAGCTGGCTTCCTCAGGAGCCACCACAGAAAGGGGTGGTGGTGGGTAAAGGGATATGAGCAAGCTTCAACCAGGGGAACTCTGCTTTTATTGGTTTTATTTTTTTCCACTTCTGGGTAAGATTTCTTTTTTTATTTTATTTTATTTTATTGTGCTTTAGATGAGGGTTTACAGAGCAAATTAGGTTCTCATTAAACAATTAATACACATATGGTTTTGTGATGTTGGTTGCCAACCCCACGACATGTCAACGTTCTCCTTTCTCGACCTCGGGCTCCCCATTACCAGCTTTCCTGTCCCCTTCTCCCTTCTTGTCCTTCCTCTGAGCTGGTGTGTGCCTATTTAGTCTTCTTTTGTTTTATGGGCCTGTCTAATCTTTGGCTGAAGGGTGAACCTCAGGAGTGACTTCAGTACTGAGTTAAAAGGGTATATGGGGGCCATACTCTCGGGGTTTCTCCAGTCTCTGTCAGACCAGTAAGTCTGGTCTTTTTTTGTAAATTTGAATTTTGTTCTATATTTTTCTCCAGCTCTGTCTGGGACCCTCTATTGTGATCCCTGTCAGAGCAGTTGGTGGTGGTAGCCGGGTGCCACCTAGTTGTGCTGGACTCAGTCTGGTGGAGGCTGTGGTGTTGTGGTCCATTAGTCATTGGACTAATCTTTCCATTATGTCTTTGGTTTTTTCTTCATTCTCCCTTGCTCCAGATGGGGTGGGACCAGTGGAGTATCTTAGACGGCCGCTCACAAGCTTTTAAGACCCCAGACTGCTATTCACCAAAATAGGATATAGAACACTTTCTTTATAAACTATGTTATGCCAGTTGAGCTAAATCTCCCCCAAGACCATGGTCCCCAGCCCTCAGGCCAGTAATTTGGTCCTTCAGGAGTTTGGATATGCCTATGGAGCTTCCCTGACCTTGCCTTGGTCAAGTTGTGCTAACTTCCTCAGTATTGTGTACTGTCTGGGTAAAATTTTATTTGAAGAAAGGATTCTGTAGCTATAAAAACAAACAAAAAATTAAAAAAAAAACAAAACAAAACACTGTACTATCTTTTAAGACTGTGATTTCTGGAATGAAAAATCAGTTGATGAATTTCTTGAAAGACTCCAGCATCATAGTCAGCAATGAAGCTAGAAACTGGCAGTCAAAAATCTTATTTCTATCTCTAGTTTTTCCACTGACTTACTTTGCGATAGAACTTGATTTATGTTGTCTTAATGTCTTCCCAAAAATAGAGGTAAAAATTTACCTTTAAACGAAAATTTTGAAGCTCCTGAACAGAATTAATTGACCCTCTGTCATGGTTTGAATTATGTCCCCAAAAAAATGTGTTTATCAGTTTGCCTGGGCCATGATTCCTGGTACTGTGTGATTTTCCTATATGTTGTAAATCCTGCCTCTATGATGTTAATGAGGGAGGATGGGAGGCAGTTGTGTTAGTGAGGCAGGACTGGATCTACAAGACTGAATTGTGTCCTGAGGCAATCTCTTGAGATATAAAAGAGAGAAGTGAGCAGTGAGACAGGGGGACCTCATACCATCAAGGAAGCAGTGCCAGGAGCAGAGTGCGTCCTTTGGATCAGGGTCCCTGTGCCGAGAAGCTCCTAGTCTGGGGGAACACTGATGAGAAGGCCGAGAGAGAGAAAGCCTTCCCCTGGAGCTGACACCCTGAATTTGGACTTTTAGCCTACATTACTGTAAGGAAATAAACTTCTCTTTGTTAAAACCATCCACTTGTGGTATTTGTTATAGCAGTACTAGATGGCTAAAGACACCCGCCTTCCTGGCAAATATTTTTACAACACTCTTTGCATGATTAGGTTGTGGGTCTCCTCTACTAGACAGCAAATCACTTGAGCATGAGGACCCCAGCATTCTTCTTGTGTTTGTATCATCTAGCTGTGCCCAGCAGTGTGCCTGGCACATCGTGGAGGTAGTATTTCCAAAATGATGACAGGTTTTCCTTTAGGATTGTTTGTGAGTCTGTTTTCCTCAAGTCCTGATTCGACTAGCGCCTTTTTTCTTTATTTGGCCTAAGACCGTCCATGGGCCCTTCTACCCAGGAACAATGGAGCACTTGCTCCTACCCATTGCCATAGAGTAGATTCTGACTCATGCTGACCCCATGTGTTACAGAGTAGAGCTGCTCCGTAGGGTTTTCTTGGCTGTGATCTTTGCAGAAGCAGATTGCCAGGCCTTTCTTCTGCAGAGCTGCTGGGTGGGTTTGAAGCTTTAGATTAGTAATCGAGTGCAAACCATTTGCACCACCCAGGAACCTTCACTTGTTCCTGATCCCTCCATTAACAAGAAAGGACCCCTTAACTCTAATGGGGAACTAGAATGTTTGAGTGAAGGTAAGGACTGGCAGACAGGTTCCTGTAACTGCAGGAATGTGCAACTGTTTTCTGCATCAGCCTTAGGTTCCCACCTACCCAGGAAACACTTAAGGAGACACAGTAATTATTTCTGCCACTTTCGAGGACTGACCTCCTGAGGGAGAATTGTATTATATATTTTAAATTATATATAAAGATAATATGACACTATAGAATATTTGGAAAATTGAGGAAAAAGACCATTAATCTTATCCTCCCCCCGCAATGCAACTATTTTCATTTTTGAATATTTCCTTCCAATATTAGCTATGTACGTATTTATCAACATAGTTTGCATCTCTCCGGTTTTATTTAATGTTGTGTAAATGCAAGGTTTCCATGTTGTACACGGTTTTCTTCTAAATCATCAGTGTTAACAGGTGTATATCCCGTTAGGTCAATGAACTATGATTTAAATAACCTCTTAGTGTGCATTTTTGAACATTAAAGCTATAATGTCTAAACCTAGTTTTAATGTTGCTTAAGGATGTAGTGGATAAAACCAGGTTAGAGATGCATCAAAACATGGAAGAAGAAATGAAGAGAGAAAACTTGGCTGCAGAACAACGCATGGTCCACAGAATCCAAAGGATTATGATGGAGTGCCACAGGGAGAAGGTCTATGCTGTGGAGTTAGCCAGGGCTGAGGAAAGGCAGATAGCCCAAGAAGAAATCCAGGCCCAGAAAAGGTATTCCAGAAAACATAGTTGCAAATTAGTATTTTACTTTTATCAAAATCAACTTGGAGAAAGGGATAAGGTTAAGGTATATATGTGGATATTGCTCAGTTTTTGTTTTTACATTTTTATTATGGAGTATATCAAATATATAGAAAAATATATAATATATTCTAGACTATGTATATGTGTGGTTTAAAGGAAAATAGCATGAATGCTCAAGGACCTACCATCCAGTTTAAGAGGCTGAAAATTACCAACATTTCTAAAGCTCCTATATGTTCTTCCCGGATCTTCTTTCCTTTCTACCCATCTCCAGGAGGTAACTATTGTCCTGAATATTGTGTTTCTTATTCTATATCACCAGTTTTAAGAGGCTATGGAAAGGAATCAAGAAACATTTTTCCATAAACACATAAAATTCGACCTCGATCAACTAGCCTAGATCATACTCTATTGTGGATGCGTTAGTTTTTGGTTTTTTTCTTATTACACAAGTAATGCATGATGCTATAGGAGAAGTTGACATTATGGAAATCTATAGAGCAAAAATTTCAAGTCCCAACTCACTGCTTCTCATCTCTGGCTTCCAGTGACAATCATTTTCAATACTGGGGTCTGTATCCTTCCATACCCTTTTGATGTATTTACAACCATATATAGGTGCATAATCACAAATCATTTTATATAAATTAGATCCTATGTACATATGTTTTAAGAATACCAAGGTAACCATTTTTAAGTATGTAATGAACATTTGATGGAATTGGCCAATTTTCACAGGAGCCATTCTTAGGGATTTCCAGGTCCAAAAAAAAATCGAAATTTCCGGGTAGATGTTAAGTGACTTGCCGAAGGTCACTCAATGTTAGCGGCAGAATCAGAACTGAAACCTCCATGTTGGGCCTCCTAGACTAGGGCTTGTCCCTTCTGCTTTGCTGCGCTGAGTTAGCAAGCAAACAAATTCACTTGTGTATAATTAACTGATAAGATCTTCCTCCTTAGAACCGTTTAGAACAGGGCCCCAGGTAAAATCCTGTAGGAGGTGCAGATAAATAAGAAGAGGGCTGCAGCTGTGGCATTTTCAGTGGTACCTCCCTTCTTGCATAAACTACAAATCATTTGTGTATATAGAAAAGGAAGGCGACAGAGGATTTCGAGATGAGGTTGGAGAAGGTGGTACAACTCCCGAAAGGGTTGTGGTCCACGTAGTGGAAGATAGTACCTTCTTTTCCTTTCTCCTCATCCCCTGCCTGCCTGCCTGCAGGAGCTCTGCCTCTTCCATTGGAGCCTCTGGGGCCACTCCTCACTCACACCAGCAGTCTCTTGCTCTCCCCCTTTCTGTATTGCTTTCACCCCTCTGGCCCTTTCCTCAATTTTGAATGGAGCGTTTTCAGCGTCCACCTTTTATTGAATCAGGAGACTAAGATTAGGGAATGTCCATGTCCATCATTTAAGTATATCTAACTCGAACATCCGTTTTGTTCACTGTTGTGTCCTAAGTGCCTTGAAGAGAGCCAGGCACATGGGAGGCATTCTTAAAATTTGGACAAACAGCCCAAATTTGTTCTACTCAACTGACCCCACTCTGCAGCACATCAGATCCTATCTCTAAACTTTGCTTGATTCCAGCATTCTTTAGAGCATTTGCAGAAACTAATATATGGAGAGACACTATTGTTGAAAATTCCACTGTAGAACTTTTGACTATAAAGTTTCATCCAAGGCTTAGGGTTCAGAACACTCACATGTTGTATAAAATTTGTTAAATGCACAGAAAACATTTTTATGGGTTGAGGTGGTAAGATTCTGAACAAATTACCTAGGAGACACTGGACTCTTTCTCTTGAAGTTAAAAAAATAAATAAATAAACATCTCTGCTTGGAAAGGTTCTAAGCATTTTCTAGCCCAAGGCAAAGGCATGAATGAAGTGACCACTCAGGAATCTTTGTGGTCATGGCTAAAATTCCTAATGACAGCTACCCTTTATTCAACACCCAGCACATGCAAGGCCCTTTGCATACTTCTTGCACTACTTCCCTCATATTCTTTCCTCGGGGGGTTCTATCATCCTCTGTATCTTCAGATAAAGACCCTGAGCATTACAGAAACACTAAGCAAACTGCCAAAGGTCACATGAAAGGAGGTGGCAGGGCCTGATTTGCCACAGAAGCTTATGACCTTCCATTATGCTACCCTGCTCTACAGATAGAGACATTATGTGAGATATCTAGAGTGTTTTCCTCTTTACTGGAATTTATCAAGTTTCTTGTGTGTATTTGGCACTGAAGCTCTGGCATGAAGAAGTAAGGGCCCTTCCTCAGGATTACATGAAATAACTAAAGTATGGCTGCCCCATATGAGCAAACCTAGATGGACTGGTACAAATAACACATAATTGCTGCAAGAGTTCAAAGTCCTACAAAGAGCAAGCAAAGGATGGGTGGGATGTGTAGTGAGGTACGTTTCTTGGAGGAAGTTAGTCTTGGGTTGGACCTTAGAGAGAAGAGAGACGGAAGAATGAGAACAGCATGAACAAAGACATGGAGATGGGGAGGTGTGAAATATAATGAGGTACAGCCAAGGCATGGTATCATATAAATGCACTGCTGGAGTTTGTCCTTTGGAAGTGTCCCCTGCCCCCTTACCATCAGGGCCTCTATAATGCCTGCAGCCCCAGCTTAGGGGTATTACTAATCCTTCTGTCAGACCAGGGAGAAATGGGTTCCCAATGTCCCAGGTAAAGAATCAGAATGTATTTTCCTTATAAACACAATGGCTAGAAACAGTACTAACAGTCTTGTTGCTCAAGTGAAAAATAGATTAATAGCTTATTTTGGGCTAATAAGGCAAACTGTCTGCTATGTTCAACAGTGCTTCAAACACTTAATGTACATTGAGTTTGGGGAGCAAATTCTTTCATAATTTAAGAATTTCCTGTGAGGAAATGAGGCACTATATCTTACTGTCTTAAGATCAAGGGTTTTTATTACTGGACATAGACAAGAGGATTGAAATTGAAAGTTAGAAGATGAAAAGTTCACTTAATAACTAGGAGGGAAGGAACACCTATTGATATTTTCCTTTATATCTGTGAGCAATAAATTTCATACCATTTCAACAACCTCCTAAAAATAGTGAGGAAAAGAGCTAAGAGAGGCCCTAACGGGAGCAAAGGACAAATCAATTGCTAGAATAGGTTCTCCAAGCTTTATTTTTTCCCAAGGGCCCAGTGGAGTTTTGTTATAGATTTTAAATTATATTTTTATTTGGTAACTTATTTTGGAACCCACTTTTTAAAACACCAGATTAGGCTCTCTCTCTCTCTCT